TTTTGTCTGAGAGGGAAGAGCTGAGGAAAACATTAATTGTCCCTTCCTCACAGAAGAGCATGTCCTAACCCTGTGCAAGTTCTCCATCCAGCACAAAACGTGTTCTCTATGTTCCTGCCAGCCTTGGGAGTTATTCACTTCAGGCATTCAAATGATGAATAATTCACTCAATCCTCCCAGCAGATGATCAGAACAAAGCTTCTACTTTCCCAGGGTTCCCAAACAGCTCACAGGAGAATCTTGCTCTGCTTCTACAAGAGCAGCTCCCTGGGTCACTGGGAGCAGTGTGAGTAGATTCAAAGGTGCTCTTGTAAGAGTTTGAGGAAAGCTGGACACATCTAGCTCACAAAGACCCAGCTAATTCTTCCCTTTTTCTGCAGCTTTCTGTCTTGTGCCTTGGGTCTACTGGAGCCACATTTATTGGGGTGATAATGAACTRCCAAAGAAGCAAGGCAGCTGAGTAACCTAAATAAGAGTTTCTCACACTCTAAGGAGGAGAATGGGTTGAATTATGGAAGCTTAGAAGTTGAGTAATAATCATCACATTGAGCAGCTGGTGGAAAGGAAGAGCTGGCACCCAGGCAGTAAACCTGACCCAAATATTGCACATGATAGAAGGATATAGGTCAATTTATGAGAGTGAAGAGAGAGTTGCAGCCTTACAGACTGGTTTTTTTACAAAGACAAAAACTATCTATATTTAGCTTTATAAATTTCTCTGCCGCCTTCAGGACATAAACCTYGGTATCGAAGCAGGATGTGCGGGTGGGGAGATTTTCAGAGTCTGCAGTAATCAAAGTGTGAATTGCATAATCTGGGTAAAACCCATATAAAAAAATCCAATCCCTAAAATAACATTCTTTAAAACCTGTTTGCAGGAGGTAGCAAGGAAAGAACAAAGGTGATTTAAAGAAAAAAAATAATCCACTGAGGCCACAGTTGATAAGATGAGCTTTATCTGCAATCTCAACTTGCCCAGCACAGAGGAATATTTAGAGCACACAGCAGCTCAAACTTCAATCTGAATCATTTAAAGTATTTCAGATTTTCCTGCATATGGTCAGAAAAGTGTCAAAGGATGCATGGTAGAAAGCTTTATAAAAGCACTRAAGCAGAGAAGATACCTAAAAAATTCATCACCCCTCATCTTGAAATTTAGTCTTACAGTGGTTTTAAGATATTCAGGACATTTAAATTTAATTTTTTTTCTGCTAAAGATACAGGATTTCTGTAACTTGCAATATATAGCACTGCCAGAATTCTTAAAAGGAGCATTCAGTGTAAAACTGTCCCACCCTACAAGGTCAGGTTCCAGAAATGAGTGGGATATTCCAGCCCTCCTGAGAAGCCCTGTCAGTAAGGCTTTATCAGGCAGCCAACTTGGTCCTAGGCACGTGGTGCATTTCTACCTTTATAAATGAATACAGATAGTTATCCAACTCAGCTCTAGAAGGGTCCTGAAGCACTTCARTGCCTGAAGCTTTCCTTGAAAGGATTATAACCCTTATTGACCCAGATGGATAATGACAAATGATTTATGTCTCCAGGTCGTGCCTTGAAAGGAACAAAGAATGTTTTCTAAAATCTGGTCAGGAAATAATGATGTTTGAAATTAAATTCAAATACACCTAAATGGGTTACTCTCTCCTAAAGGTACAATTAAATTTATATACAATTCTTAACCCATGTGTTTTTTGTTTATATGTGTCAACCTGGCTGTACATTCTTTAGACTTAGCATTCACTTGTGGTTTTGTCTTGCTATGCTAAAGGATTTGTGTGTTTGTTACATGTGAGGTTTGGAATTRAAGTGAAAAAAGAAAAATGAAGGGGTACATCTGTGGCAAGARTGAATACAAAAATGTGTCAGCCCCTACTTTCCTCCCCAGTTCAACAGAGTAATGGGCCCATAAAGGTATTGTAAAGTAAAATTAGTTAGCAGCTCTCACTGAAACCAACACCTGTGTTTATATCAAATCTGTATTTTTATGCAGYCTGTGTTTATATCAAACCCCATGTTTAACCAAATCTGGCTGTGTTGACTTGTTTCCTGCCCCATGGTCATTCATGTTTTTTCCCTGTTTACTCTCCTAGCTGCTCCACCTTCACTTTAAACCCTGGAAAACTCCGAGTGGCCAATCCCACCTGCTGAATCCTGCTAGTCCTAACACGCCAGGCCAAAATCTGTGATTATTTTCTTGCAATTATTTTTGTATTTTGTTGTGCATCTCTCTGCACGTGTTGTATCCAGTCTGTATGCTCAGTTTCTCCTTGTTCCTCTCTTTCACCTTTTACCTGGCCCCTCGCAGCCCTTCCCATCAGACATCATGTCACACCATGCCGTGTTTACACCAAACCAAGCGCACTTGCCAAGCCCCCTATCTGTGTATTTGATCAATTCACTCCCCTCCTCGTGTCCCTCTGAGAGCTCATCTCTAATCTCATGAACAGATCAAGCTGCCAGGCACTGYGTTGAAAGAATTTCTTGGTTCTCCCCCCACTACTCACCACCTTGGTTTATCTCCCCTTCCCCCACATCCTCCATCTCCAGCAGCATCGCTCCCCTCAGAGGTCTCTGTGTCTCAGCTCTGCTGTCCTGTACTTCTCATTTCTTCTGTAGAACTGCGTGTCACGCCCTTGTATTTCTATTTATGTTCAATTTTCTGATAAGGCAACTTGTGTATCTCCACCAGCAGACTGCAAACCGCTTTGGTCCAAGCTGCAAAGATTTTTYACAAAGTTCTTAACACACCATGGTTAGTGTGAAGAAGAGACTAGAAAGAGTCACAGTCCTAAGTGTTACTAGCAAGAAATGCAATGCTGTTAAAATCTGTCGTTATAAACTTATCTGTACTGACACAAATCAAATTAAATGTGCGTTGATCAAAATCAAAGCCTTTTGGGGGGGTAATTCACTGTTGAAAGCATAGGGAAATCTGTGAGTTTATCAGGGCATTCTGCTGCACATTTTTTGGTTTCATAATCACAAGAAAGGATCTCTGAGCATAATGTAAACTAGCAAATTTTCAAGCACAAGGGAAGTCATGTCATGCAGAAGTGGTCCTTTATTTTGGAGGTGCAAGGTCTGGAATTTATCCAAATCGCTGCTGCTTACCCAGGGCTCAGTTCTAGAAAACTCTGATCAAACTCTGTGTTTTTTGTACACATGTACTGCATGAGGCAGACTGGCTCACACAAGAATCGGGAAATTTGGCTTGGGCATTCATCCTGGTCTACAGATAGGTATGAAATCCCCCTTGACAGCAGTGAGGCTTTTTTTAGGAGATAACACACTTGTGTCATCTCACCACAAAAGTTTCTTGGTACTGTCACTCTGCCAAGAAATGAAGTACAGGTTTAATGGACTTCAGTGTGACAGATGTTTCAATATCTGCTGCGTCTTGTCTTCAGCAAGACCACCATATTTATTTGTTTATTAATTTATTATGTATTTTTATATTTTTTTATGTATTTATATCAACGTCAGCTGCACAATAGCTTCAGTCTGCCCTTGTTTCTGTCTGTGGTGCTGCATTGCCTTAAGCAAATTCTCTTACAAGTCTGTACATCAAATGCTATATTTAAATTGTATTTTTATGGCAAATGCAAGTTCTTAATTAGCATTGAACAAAATTGGTAATGAATGTTTGATGATGCCTAGAACAGAGTGCCTAAATAATAACTCATAGAACAGCAAGGAAGGGATGTGCCGCTTCTTTCTTGGAGGGGGAGAAGCAATATATTCTGTTGAGAATATGGTTCCCTAGTCACTGCATGAACTGCCCTAAAAAAATCCTAAGACTTCATTTTTTTCGTAATTCTCGTATTTGTTCCCACTTTTTCCACCTCTTTGTTTAAAATAAATCTAGTATCTTCTTTTGAGCTTGCAAACAGCTCTAAAAATACATTAGCAATAAGGAGCTGCCTCGTTGTACCCTAATGCTGCATTAAACTCAGCACCAGTAAATGGTTTACACTGGAACAATTTTCAGAAATATCAAATTAATAGGAATACTTATATTGCTGTTTTCCCATGTTCCACAAGACTCCATCTCTCCAAGCCCCGATACCATYAGCAATATAATCATACATCAGTAACACAAAAAATACACAAAATATTAAAAATTAAAGAGCAGAGTAAAATGAATTTCATTTGTTTTAAAGCAGAACACTGCTGTTGTACTGACTGCATTGGATGCACATTACTTCTTTTATAATTCTATATTTAGCCTGGTGCTGACTGCCCTAAAAGGAAASCAGATGTGTTTGCTGAGGAAAGCAGATGTGTTTGGTTGGGTGTTTGTGCCATTTCMCTGATGACACTGGCCTTGATTGCATCCACAATGTAACTGTCAGTTAAAATATCTACCGACTGCAAATATTTATCATTCCGTATACAATTTTATCCTGGATATCATTTCTTTGCTTATATGGTAGGAACTTTCACCTAATCACAGACTCATTAAGGTTGGAAAAGACCTCCAAAACCATCGGATCCAACTTTTGACCAAACACCACCTTGTCAACTAAATCATGACATGGGGCACTTGGTCAAAATCCAGCGTATGAAATCTGTGTAGAATTAAATACTCCAAATGGAAAGGCATCATTCCTTCAYRAAAGAAATCAGGATTCATGACCTAMTTCTGKGAGGACAGCAGGGACACTYAYCCTGTGCATCCATGTTCAGTGTGTGCATTTAGAGCTGATGAGCGAGTAGGACACAGATGCTTCATCATGCCACACCCCTTTAATTAATCCTTAATCATTGATTCACATCTATTGCATGTCACTCAAGTGTTATTTTTTTCCACAACATTTACCTTATATTTCAACATGTGCTGTTCGTTGTATGACTTCAGAGAGGATGTGGTTATGGTGTGACAGAAAGGAAGCTTTGCTGTAGATGGGAAGATAGAGCTCAAAGCACCTACGCTACCTCTTAAACTTTTTTTTTTTTTTTTTAATTAACTGTCTTCTTTCTTGTGTTTCTCTCTTTGACGGGTGCTCAGCGTAGACTTGCCATGTCCTGGGAGACAAACATCCTTGGCTCAGCCATGAATAACTGTGTGCTCCTGGAGGAACTGCTGATCAAGAAATCCCAGCAGAAGAGAAGGACTTCACCCTCCAACTTTAAAGTGCGCTTCTTTGTCTTGACCAAATCCAAGCTGGCTTACTACGAACATCGCCACGGGGTATGTCAGTCACTTTCTCTCTCAGAGTAATGMAAGGAAGGATGAAATTTGTTAAAGGAAGGGGAGGATGCTGGTGGAGGGCAGGATKATCTTTGTTAAGTTTTGTTAGCTGTTCTGGTCCTCGCTACAGAACCATGCACTGAAAATTGGTCCAATTTAGAGCTTCTGATCAGTGGGCATTCGGTGTGCACAGAGGAATAACATTACTTTGCCAGTTTCTAGAAAGGATCTAGTTTTGTTGTAGAAATAAACTGTAATAACCAGGGTGTGCAGGAGCTGTGTGAGGCTGYGCCTGGCACCTCACACGGGCACAYGGAGAGGCGTWTTCTGAAGGTCACAAGTGTTCYCTGATTGCATCTGGGAARAAAGTTATRCACAGATCTTCACTCTCATTCTTTTCTTCAGGGCATCAGGGTGATGGCTGGTAGGAGATCCATCTTGCATTTAAAAATAAATTCAGCTGCCACGTGGAACAAGTCTGGCCCTTGGAGCTGTGACGATGAGATCCAGGCTCAGGGCAGGCTTTGCTTCCCCAAGCTTCCATTTTGCTGATTCACTAAGTATGAAGAAAATTAGAATTCAATCTGTGCACCCCATTGTGTTTAGTGCTCCAGTGAAGTGAGAATTATTTCCTTCTATTAGGCTGGATGTTTGCTGAGCCTCGTTACAGTTGTAAATAATATTGCTTGTTTTCCAACAGTCACTGAACATGCTGTTAATCCATTATGTTCAGGCACTGCTCCTGTAGGCAGAGCAGAACTGGATCCAGCACAGGCAACTTCAGACCATCTGATCTTGCTCAGTTGCAGAAAATTAAGTAAAAACAGAGCCCAACAAAAAAATAAAAGTATTATGTGCCCTCCTCGTGTTTTGTCATTACCTGTTTGGGGTTATAAAGCAGCTTTGAAGGTTAACACTTATTTTTCCCTGCATGTTATTTCTCTTAAATATGTCCAATGAAATGTTTTTCTTGCTTTTATTTTATAGTTCATGTTTTTCTTGCTTCCATTTTAAAAACAGGACACTATTCATTGCTGCATAATGTGACTATGGTTTGGACTATCTTTGTCTGTTCTCCAAATTTTTTTTCAAATGTCACGTTTGTAAGATTTTGAATTCCATGATAACTATTCCACTAAATTGTTTGGGGTTAAATTCTGAAAAGCATCTAATGATTCTGCTGCAGGTGTTTACAGAAATCTTCCCAACAAGTTTTCTTTGGTGCTTTCTGAGTCTTGGTGGACTTGAGAATAATTCAGCATCCACTAGGCTTACATATTTTTGCAGTGTCTTGTCAGAATCTTGAGGGACTGAAATAGTTTGGAAAATTTGACTTGGTGACTTTGCAGTGGGGCATAGAATTCACACATTGTGTTTGCTGAGATTTTCCCTCTTTGTCTTCCAAAAGGTCATTTAGGTGAGATGAGGGCACCCTGGGCATAAATTCAGGTAAAACAACTACCAAACTGCTTAAAAGTTTGATAAGTCCCACAGATTTCAGTTGGATGACTTAAAGTAAAATACACACGTATGACTTAAGCCCTGTTTTAAATATTCTGCCTGTATTTAACAGGGTTTAGCACCAAGTCTTTCTCTGCATTTTGAAACTGTGGGTATAAAGAGATATTTAAGAACGTGTACTATCAGTGCAAAACAAGGTATTGCAAAACAAGCAGGCCAAAAGGGGACAGGGATAATTCTGCAAATGATACCAAAAGCTGTTGAGACAACTGACATCATGAAGGCTATTTTTTGCCATAGATGCAATGTCATTTTTCATTGTAATTTTTGCCTTTCTGCCACAGCTGACAGAGAGCACTGTTCTCCTCAGGGGCCAAGCACACAGTCACCCTTAATGTTAATGAAAGATATTTGCATGTCTCATTAGGAGAATGAGCCCCCAATAACTGACAACAATAAGAAACTGTGTTTTCTGGAATTCATTATACACTGCACAATGCAGGGCTGTCTTAATATAAAGCAAAGCCCTGATAACAGGCACATGAATTCAGCCCCCTCTCTGCTAAAAGACATCAGAAGTGCCTTTATTACAACATGCAAATCTATTCCAAAGGCAAAAATTATTTGTTTCAGGGTCTGATTTTGTAGCAACTGTACATGTGAGTAAACAAGTGCATGGGAATAATAATTTTAACTATTTCAGTGAGTTTGATCCTCATTACAATAATGGATAATGCAGGCACTGGGGAAGTGTCTGGGACAGAATTCCGAATATCCTTACTTAGACTCAACCAAAGTATTTAAACTGGTGAGTTATCTATATCCCATTCACCCGACACTTACAGCTCTTAGCAAATCTTTCAGGCACAAAAATATTTTGAAATTTTATACCTTCATGCACTTGTGGGCTATTATTAGTCCAGCAATGAAAGGCTCACAGAGAAAAGGCCGAGTTCTCCTTTCATTTATATCAGCTCAGCTCTTCCTACACTGGTCAGATGCTCAGGAGGTCACACAGAATGAGTCAGCCTTGTCCTGGGCTCTTTCATTCACATCTTTGATCCTCAAATCAAATCAAATCATTTCTATCCTTGAGATAGAAATGGCAAAGATGGCACTTTAGTGTGCCTTGAAATCTGTTTTCAGGCTCTTGTTCCAGGAGAACAAACGAATAAACTTGGCTGAAAAGACTTTTATGAGCATCCCAAAAATGCTTTAGCTGTTCTGTTGCTTTATCTCCACATTGGGTTCTTGCAGCAATCCAGCTGCCCACAGGAACAAAATCAATGTTTTGCTCCTCAGTCCAGTCCCTTTTACCTTGATTATTCTTACACAGAATCCATCTTGTCCACCCTGCCATGGAAAGAGTTGGTTTTCTCCCCAGGACTGATGTAACCAGACCAGGGTAATGCCTGGTTTGTGAGCAGTAATTCCAGTTTTTGGTCCTGCTGGAGGACTGTGATTGTTTTTTATCTGCTGAGGATCTGCTGAGCTCTGGCTGTGATCCAGACCCCAATGTTGTGCTATCACATGAGATTATGAGGAGCTTCCATTGCTGAATTGTGCTGTTAAAAGGAGCACAGTGGGTCATGAGAGCTGCAGGACAACTGCACAAAGCTCCTTGAGGAGACTTTCAGCAGAACCCAGAAAAGCATCAACAAAAACCAAAGTGCAGGGACAGAACAGAGCCTGTGCCTGGCACAGCATCGCTTCCTAAAGCCTTGGGGGAGGAATGCATGTGGGTAAACCCCAGCACTTCAAAGGAATGAGATGAAGGAGGGCTCAGTGCTAGCAAAATTGAAGGTTTTTATAGGATATAAATGGCTTTGTGTCTCATCAAAAGGGTAGGAGTCCCAGGAGGAGAACAAATGACAGAGGAGGTTTTGCAGAAGAGACAGAGGAAAGCCAAGTCTGAAGGAATGAAGTGAATAGATAAGAAAGGAAATAGATGGTGAAAATGGGATGCAGTAAGGCTTTCTAAGGCCAGCCAACTCTCTAGAGTTAATTGGTATTTACATTTAGGGGTGCTTCAAAGCCTTGGGTTTATTGATTTAGAGGAATCCCACACCCCACAGAGCCACACAGGCAGATGTTGTCCACAGGAGACAGTCCTGGCAGAAAATCCAGAGACACTGGTTAAACTGCCAGCACAAACACAAACACAAACCCCAAATGCACCAGCAAAGGCCAGCAAGAGCCATGTGAGACCACACTGTAATAATTTCCCTCTTTTGCCTCAAGTCCAGTCATAGAAAGGAGAAATATTCAGCCAGTGGTGCAAGGATTGAGATCTGATGAGCCTCAGGGCCTGTGTTTTGGGGCTGTTTGACAGGGAACTGTGGCAAACATCACCCCAATCTCCAGAGGCACTGCTGCTGCCTTGTTTTAAGCTGAATTTAACCATGAAAGGCAGGGGAGTGGCAGTGGGGGGTGGCACAGTGGTGGGGACAGAGCTGCAGGATGGTGCTGGCAGAGGGAGCCAGGGGCAAGAGGGAGCTGGAGGGTGTAAGACACAAACATTTGGGGTCCAAGGAAGGGTCAGAAGGTTGCCAAAGCCCTGCTGAGGCTCTGAGTGATAACCTGTGACAGGTACAGTGCAGCAGCTGAAGTTCAGGCTCCCTCCTGCTGGCAGTGTTTGGAAAACAGAAGCTTTGCAGTGTTTTGCTGTTCTCAAACCTCACTGATTTCCGTCACCCTGTCCCAAAGCTGAGCTGGTGTTTAATCCCTATGAAAATGAATCAAAACAGGAAACCAGCTTGCTCTGAAGAGCAAACCCATGGGTAGTGGATCCTGCAGAAGCATCAGAGGCTGAGCCTTGGCTCTGCTCCCCCCGGCTGCCCTCACCCCTTGATGCAAAACCCAAATGCCACTGGCCAAGGAGCCATGGAGTGAGGATCCCACAGGGAACAGGGGATACCAAGACAGCTGGGACACTTGAATTTCCATTCTTTTTATTCTTTCCTCACTGCCCATACTGTTATTTGGGTATCTGGTATATGGTGAATAAAAGCACAGCAGAGGATGCCAGAGAAACAGCTTTGTTGGCAACTTTTTGAGGATACTATTAATTTCAAAATTTGCTGTTGTTTTTTCCTTAGCTGAAAAGCCAGACAAAACAAAAACAGAAATGTTGTAGTTTTTTGGAAAACAGATGCAGTAAAAATGTACATTTTGGATGAAATGGATAGTTTTGAAATTCTCAATACCCAAACATTYTTAAAATAAAATATTTGTTTATATCTTTTCAATATGAAACAGGAGTGTTAGCAAGCAGAACATTTAGTGAAAACAGTTCTTTTTTGGCTAAAAAGGGATTTCATTTTGCTGGAATAAAAAAAGTGAGAGCTGAATTTCAACCAAAGTTTTGACTGGTTCTCCAAGAATCCATGTGCTGAATTAAAATATGTGTATCTGCACACATGTATGTGGATATGTGCATGTGTACGTGAATCCATATAGAGGTGCCTATGTAAGAATGATTCTTTATATTTTTAAATGTCTTACATAATCAGTTAATTCACTTCTGCTCTATTAAAACTAAATCTCCCATGGACACAGCAGTCAGGTCTAATTATTCACTTAATCCACAATCATTAGCATCAACCAAATGCTTTTCTCTGTCTTGTAGAAAAAAAAGACTTTGAAGGGTTCTGTGGAACTTTCCAGGATTAAATGTGTGGAAATTGTGAAGAGTGACATCATCATTCCCTGTCAGTACAAATATCCTTTCCAGGTGAGTCTGTCTGTTGGCTGTACTGAGAGAGAAATCACTTCATTTTGTATTTCAGTAATATTTCAGTTGTTAATGAACCAAACACCAGGTTCTGGATCAGAACCCCTTCTCCAATTTAAATCATCAAAAGTCAGTGAAGTTGAGATGTTTCTGAACAGTCCCTATTGCTCCCCCTCCCCACATCATCATTTTGCTTGGCAAGAGGGCTGCTGCCTCTTTCCTTTGGTGCCCCCCTTGTGACCAATGACTCTGGGGTTGCTTCTCATGGCTGGCTCCTTTCTTCCCCCCCCCTTCTCCAGATTGTCCACGACAGCTACATCCTCTACGTGTTTGCACCCAACCGGGAGAGCAGGCAGAGATGGGTCCTCACGCTGAAGGAAGGTAAAAACCCCCTGTGCCCTCCTGACTGGGGAAGGTGCTCATGTCTGACAAGTTTTCTCACAAATAATGCACAGAAAATGTGCAAGAGGAGTCGATGTCTCTCCTCTCAGCAGGCAAAATGGTAGTGGGTAAAAAAAAAAGGAATTGCTTGTCAGTGTAGAGGTGTGTTTTCAGCAGCCGTGGGGAATTTGGATGTGGAATGGTTTCTTTGGGGACATTAATGTCTTCAGTGTCTGCAGGGAGGTGTCAGAGCATGGACCAGGCTCTGCTTGGCAGTGCCAAGCATTGGGACAGGAGGCAATGGGCAGAAACGATGCCCTGGATGTGAGGAAGAACTTCCCAGTGCAGTGACCGAGCACTGATTGCCCAGAGAGGCTGTGGGCTCTCCACATCCAGAATATTTGGATGGATATTCCAGAACCATCTGGATGCAATCCTGTGCCATGTGCTGTGAGATGACCCTGCTTTGAGCAGGAAGACAGGACCAGATGACCCCACTGTAATCCCTTCCAACCTGACCCATTCCATGTTTCTATGATTTGTGTCTTTCTAGAATAAACTCTTAATAAGTTGCTGTGATTTGAGGTTTCTTATTCAGGAACAGACGAGGATTTTCCTGTGGCTAATTTTTTTAAATAACTTTTTCAGCTCTGATTAACAGATTTTTTTGGTTAAATTACAACCTTTTTAGAGGATCATGATTATTAAGGAGCATTTTTGTGGGTAGCTTTCATTTCCTGTTCACCTCCTGAGTTGTGCCGTGGTTCTCTCCCATGGTGCTGCAGAAACCAGCACTGGGGGCAGAAACAGCAGAATGAAGAAGGTGTTAGTTGGTTACGTAAAAACTGCAACAGGCTTCTCTCATAGCTTTTTTTTCTGTTTTACAGCACTGCTGCTGTATTGTTCCCTCTGAAAACATTGTGCACTTCATGCACTGACTCTTGCAATATTATTATTCCCCTACCCCCAGCTTCTACTTTATCACCACTTCTCATTCAACATTTTGAGACTGTCCTCTCTCCTGGACAATTTGAACGGTCTCTTAAAACAGGCCTGCAGAATTTTTTTTTTTGTTCTTCTGAGGAAAATTATTATTATGACAGATAGAGACCCTGAGCTTCAGAAAGAAGGATGGTAATCACTCACACAGGCATTCAAGACTGGTGTTTACATGTGCAAAAAATGGTGAATGCTGGTGAATGCCAGCTTGTGCAGCTCCTTCTGAGCACCAAGGCAAACCAGCAAATATCCTGGGAACATCACTAAATGGCCTGCTGGGTTTTATTTCTTTTTGTGTGACACTCCTTCTTTGGTTTTGGTGTTTTATCATTTTAGGGAGACTCACACTTGTATTTTTCTGTTCTACCACACAGAGAGACATGGGTTCCATCACCAGCAGGAAGATTATTGCTCCACATTGATGGTGGCATTCACTCCTTTTGGGAGAAAGGAAAACATTAATGGAGGAAGTTGATAATGCTAACCAAAGCTTAGCTTGAAAATAACAGRAAGCTTCTTTAACAAGTTTATTTCYATTTAGTTCTAGATTGCTTTTAGAACTAATGTGTATGCAAATAAATTCATTTTCCCCCTACTTTTTCTTCCCCGAATGTTTTTCAGAAACCAGATACAACAACAGTTTGGCTTCAAAGTGTCATCCAGATTTTTGGTTAGATGGCAAATGGAGATGCTGTGCTCAGACAGAGAAGATGGCAGCTGGCTGTGTGCTGTATGACCCCACCAAAAATGGTAAGTGACTTATTAAAACCATCCTGACATAGAAAATATTTATTCCTAGCAAAAGTAAAGAATCAAATCCATCTTGTAGAGAACATAAAAAAAATATTATGTTACATTGCCATAAAAAGACATGCTCCTGGATTCTTGAGCTGTTCTGGCTTATGTTTTACTGCAAGTGGTTTGGTTTTGTGGGGCTTTTTTTTTAAATTCACATTTTCTTTGGTATGATGCTTGATGCTGCTTTTGGAAGGAGATGGAGAACTAAGAACTTGATCAGCTGTGGTCAGTCAAGAAGCCATAACAACTTTCTCGAGATAAAGGCACCCAATTGTGTGTGTCCAATTTTCACAAAACCGTATTTCCTCTGTGGTTTCAATGGCCAAACCTAATCTTCACTTTGTATTCTGAAAAGGAATACAAGTGCTCAATCATTCATCACCAAAGGAACATTGACCTTGTATTTTGACCTTGATTCTTTAATCAATCTGTAGCCCAGTGTCCATTGAGATTCCCTGTGAAGTTTGCAGGGCTCGCTCTCTAAGCCCAAAGCTCGCTCTTCAGGGGGGTTGCATCACCTGCATCAGTGCTTTACTTTGGTGGTTTCTCCCTCGGTTTTGTCCTTATCTGCTTCAAATTATCTTTCTTGATTTCATTTCAGCCTCGAAGAAGCCTCTTCCTCCCACTCCTGAAGATAACTGGGTGAGTGCAGTGGGGCTGTCCTTGGTGTCCTGTCCTGGTTAACTGCCAGTGGGGAGTGTGTCCTCATTTAATGTCCACCATGGTGCAGTGACCTAGAATTTCACCTGGGATAACATTTCCTGGGCATCTTCTGTGCAAACTGAAGTTGTTATATGAAATTCATTGTTTGAAAGTGCCAAAGATCCTCATGCTGCCACCAGATCCCACGAGATGCTCTGGGGTGCTGTGAGGCCTTTGAGCCCAGGGGACGCCAGTGCTGCCAGGAAAATATCACTTTAGAGAGCGTGCCATTGCTTTTTATGAATATAAATATGAATATGAGCATGAATCTGATAAGCCTTTTGCCTAATTTGTGTAGAAATTGTTGCTAGACCCAAAGGAGGCCGTGGTCATAGCCATATATGACTATGAAGCCCAGAACCCACAGGAGCTGACCCTACAGTGTAATGAGGAATATTATGTGATTGACAGCTCTGAGGAACATTGGTGGCTGATCCAAGATAAGAATGGGTAAGTCCCTTTTCCACAGCCAGTGTACAAATCCTTTCTAATTCCAGTTTGTTCTTCCATTAACATGCAGTTGAATCCCTTTTGTTTAGCTTTTGTGAAGCATCCTCCTATTTACAGGGGAAAAGTGGTGGGAGATTATTTAGGATAATAAATAATATTATCCTATGATTTTTATTTATTATAAAAAATTATTTAGGATAATAAATAATCCAAATTATTTAGGATAATAAATAATCCAAATTATTTAGGATAATAAATAATACTTTGCTGTGGCTGGTATTCAGGCAGCTGAAGAACAGGATCTGAAAGTTGATTTTAAAACAGTAAACAGTCCTTAGTTCAGACCAGTATTTGCAGTGATACATGGCGGGGGGAAATGATGAAACCCTCCAGGTTTAGAGGTGCAGTCTGTTATTTTCTTCTCCAGTAACCCTACTCAATATCTAACACCCAGCACTTCTGTCATGCAGTGAGCAGGCAGAGCTTTCAAGGCAGACTCCTACAGATGCAGAGAAAATCCTGTCTGTCAGCACCCTCACACTTTTCTTGCCTCTCAACAGGCATGAAGGCTACGTGCCAAGCAGCTACCTGGCGGAAAAATCACCCGAGAATCTGCAAATTTATGAGTAAGTTGTGCCTGTGTTTTTTCTGTACYTCGGAGYGCCCKGGATTTGAAACTACAAATCTCAAAYGCCCCAACCCTCCTCAYRTTCCACCCTGTCCCAGTGGGGACACTCCTTTCAGAAACTTTTCAGGAGAAACTTTCCTGGCCTAGAAATGCTGACTCAAAGTCTTTTGGTGTTTTCAGGTGGTACAATAAGAACATCAGCAGAAGCAAAGCAGAAACACTGCTCAGGGATGAGGTAAACCAGTGTTTGTGCATGGGGTGGATGGGAAACAATAATTAATGAATGGCAAACGAAGCCTGTGAGGGCTGTTTTGTGTGAGAGAGATGAACCCTGGGTTCCTGCTGTGTTTGTGCTCTTGGTGTGTGATGTGAGATAAAGGACCACCAGCACACCCCCCTTATCTCCTCATTAACTGAGCATGGACAGAGCTGTGCCACCCAAACACTGCCAAAACTCCGCTTCAGACCACGGTGCCAGCTGAGAACTCTGATTTTAGCTCATCTTTTCTGTCTCTGCAGGAGGACTGTGGATGCCAGCAGTTCTCTGAAAATCTAACCAATCTTGTGCTGAAGTATTTTGGGTGAAAGCCAAAAGTATGGCTCTGGGGTTTGTTTTTTTTAATTGTGCATGTAAGCACACATCTTTAATTTTTCAGTTGAGCCAGAGCTTTCCAGTGAAGATTGTACTTAAAAATACAAAGAATAAGCTTCTTGTTCAAATTTTCCACACAAACACAACCTCAATTTTTAAATCAACTCTTGCATTAACAGGTGGCTCAACTAAAGTGTTGTTTCTTGGAATGGTAATGTTTGGTGGAAATAAGAGCATTTTTGTGTGGTTTTGAAAAATCTTATATAAACTATTACAGGACATGTCCACACATGGTTTAGTGATTTTTTTCTTTTCGTCCTAACAGTGCAACTTTTCTGTGGTAGCTAACCCCATGTGGCTGCAGAGACTTCTGGTTCAAACCCTTGCAAACCTCACAGCTCCCCCCAGACACGTGAGCAAGGTTGTGAATGATCTTTAGCCAGGCTTGGTGTCAAGTGAGAACAGAAGGAAGGGCAAGAACACAGCTCAGAGTGGCTTGGGCAGGATGCTGTCTCCAAAACTTGCCCACCTCCAGTCCTAAAGCCTCACTGTGCGTGATTAGAAGCTTCTACAGCAGCAGAGAGACCTTTTTTAGAGCTTCCCTTTGTCAGATATTCAAAATCAGGCATTTTGAATGCCAGATGAAAAGCATCTTTACCTGCAAACAGAAGGAAAAATGCTGGGGTTATTGCCAATATATAGGTCAGTAGAGCACATTCCATCCAAATTGTGGTGTTAAATCTTCTTTGCCATCTAATCCATCTGGCTCTGTGAGATCATGGCCTATGAGACATTTTAGCATTCAGATGAGTAGAAAACAATTGCAGTGAAAAGTTAAAAAGGAAAATTGTTCTGTAAGTTCAGGGAAACTGCTTTCCTACCCATTTGTGTTTAGATACTGGATGACTGCTGGGTCTGTGAAAGGGCAGGATCATGTCCAGGTTTTTCCAATTTGTGGTACACGGGTGAATTATCTTTCATACACTCCCATATGGATTTTCTGGTGTTGGATAAACTCTGATTTGTTCTGTGGCTGCTGGCTCAATGGGGAGCACTCAGAGGGGTTTGCCTTCCCCCTCGACCTTCATGGAACATGTGCTCGGTCAGACAGGGCTGAGGACAGCCAGGGATTCAGAATTTCCAGAGGAGAGCCCTGGAGGGGCAGAGAGGCACACCCACACGGGCTCAGCACGAGTGCCTAGGTCTCATTTCCTCTGAGAGGAAGCAGAGCTAAAAGCACTCAACACCAAGACCTGCAGAGCCCAGCAGCCACAGAGCTGTGCATGGAACACACCAAGCTCTGCCAGCGGGGTGATGGCTCTTTTTTTCCCTCCATGTTTAGCACATTCTCATGACAGGGCTGAAATAAGCACAGCTTTGCCCCTAGCCTGTTTATTTTTAATTTTTTTTTTTCCATTATGTCTTTAACCAGTTTTCTCTCCTTTGCTCTTTTTACAGGGTAGGGAAGGGGCTTTCATGGTGAGAGATTCGAGGCAGCCTGGCATGTACACAGTCTCTGTTTTCACCAAAGCATTAAGGTACAGCTGAGCTCAGCAGCTTTGCACATCAATTA